ACCCAATGCTTTCAACTTCTCTTTCTTCCCCATCTTGTTGATTAGCTAACTTATATGGGATTGAAACCTTTTGGAGCACATCTCTTTAAACTGAAAGGAATGGATGGAGGGGAAGATTAGGAGTGAAAAAAAAAAAAGGAAAAGAAAAGAAAAGATGCAGTTGGACCAGGAAGCCTAGTACCCTGGACCTAGTATTATCAGGTTAACAACTTGGCTTGCCAACAAATGAAAATGGCAGGGAATATATGCATGAAATGGACAGCTTGAGTCTTGCAGAAAGTGTGCAAGGGAATTAGTGAAAATAAAGTAAAGCATTATGTTGGTACCTTTCATGGAACTATTTTAGGAATGTGAACTTCGGTATGGATGGTTTTGGGGATGGGTAACTTTATGGAAGAGAAGACCCTCTTTGTCCTAGGTACAAATTTTTACAAAAGTGAACCACTATCATGAGCTATAACATGGGATTTTCATATCAGCCTACTTGATTATGTCTATGTGAATAAATCTTGGATGCTTGGAATGCACTTAACCTAAATATTTGATGAGCTTTGCTAACCTTGTGTGAGACACAGGTACATGTGATGTTGTGAACTTGGTGATTTTGCTGCTGCAACTATGAGTAGTGATGTATGTTGATGGATCACCCTTTTATGATTTGGTTCTTCAATTGTATGATTAATATCAGAGGAAGAGAGTGATCATGTAAAGAAATTCTAAAGAAAGCACTGTCACATTACTCCATGTGGGTGAAGGATCATGCATACATTATTAGAATACACAAACAATTACTACTATTTCAGTTATCTTCTGATGCATGAAAGAACTTTATGAACTTCAGGTTCACTGAACTTTAGTATGACTTCATTATTCCTTTTGCTTTTTGTTTCTTTCTCTTCTTCCCCTCCTTTCTTTTTCCCTGAACCTTGAACACTGTATAAAAGAAGAGATGTCTCGAGGATATGGAGATGGCGGCGCTATAATCTCAATCTCATGCGTACCTCAAAGTTTTTTTATGTTCACCCCTTGGAGTTGGAATCATATTCTTCTGTTATGATGTATCAGATGCAATGAAATTAATATGAGTGCTTTCTAAGCATTATAGTAGGAGACAGGATGGTGCCGTCCAAGTGAAATGGGATAGTCTTATCACAAGCTACACTCCATAGAAAAGCATATTTCAAAGTGAAAGAACAAGATATTGTAAAAACTTGAACATTTTTAACTGTGTACAAGAGAATGATGGTTAGACCATGATTGAGCCAGGCGATCAGTTGTGCCCGTCAGCCTAAGAGAATAACACAAAGGCCATACTCAAGCTAGATATATATCTGATAAAAACATAAGCAATCTCTAAACTAGGCAATATTCTTGTAAAGTGGCTAAACTTATGAGGACATGTATAACACTAATCATGGATGTTGAAAAGCATCCAACTAAAATAGCCAAAAGGGAAAAAGATGGGGGGGAGGGAACCCATTTTTTGTGGCTTTGGGAAGAGGGGAATAACCAAAATTCTTGACTTGAGAATATGACTCATTGGCTTTAGTTTGAGTTAAGATTCTTACATTCCCATTCCAATGAAATCTTTAAAAAAGCTTTTGCCTCGCTCCTCCCCTCCTCTAACTTTTTTCCACAAGGAATAGCATTCCGTGGTCATTTCTCACTTTCTATATCAGCCAATGCTGTCACGTGTGGTCAACAAATGATTGACCAGTAAGAATCCTACACGTGTCTTGCTTATGATTGAAACTAGTCCTTAATGTGATTCTCAGCTGCTGGTGGGTGTTTCTCTTTTCAGAGCTTCTTCTCAAGTCTTTGAAAAGTAAAATTATATATTAACACAGAATCTGGAAGAGGAAATGTAAGTACAAGGAAGAACAAATATCCATGGTTCCCCTCTCTTTAAAGTGAAGAATAACATCTTTGGAGAGATGAGAAGGTAGTAACAGTTTGTGTATACCAGTAGGAAAAAGTTAACTATTATTTTGTACTGCTCAAGCACAAAAACAGCTGGTTAGATATATGGACAAAAAGACTTTGAACAGTGAACTTCATTTTGACAACATCAGGGGAAAGTTGAGTACTTTTTTATGTACTAATGCTGGAATGATCATTATTGGGGTCCTTAAGGGACATGAAATGAAGTACTAGCACCTTGTTATCCTACAAATGGTTTAGGTACTTGCACTTTTGAACATCAAGTAAGTACTTGTCTGTCTAAACAAAAATACTTTGTCTGTCAACATAATAATATGATGAGTGGGAAATGCAGAACTTGAACAAGACAAAAGGGTATCTCATTTTAATCTTGGTGCCGCCTCGAAACATGGTTGAGATTTGATTGGTAATGTGTCACATCTTTAGTTAGTCTTAAAACTAGAAAGAATTATCAGATCTTATAAGCATCCTGTTTTTGATGCTCTCACATGTTTTTTTCATGGCAGGTTAGTTGTCATTAGTCATGGAATGAAAAAAAAAAGGGAAATGATTATATGGAAATGCACCCATCAAATTTATCTTACTCTTGTTTCTGTGATTTTTCTTAAATATGATCATTGTCCATCAGACTGAAGCCAATCTGATATTGTAAGTTGCAGGGTACCAAATAAAGCCTCTTCTGCTAATATATTCCTATCCACATGCCAGCAAACTATTTTGGGATTCTTCTTTTAATACTTTGTCTAAAGGTATTGATAGATTCTCCCAAACTGCATAAAATATTCTGACATATCAGAATCAAATGATTTTCCAAAAAGGCCAGTTGGAACTAATGTGTCGACATTGTACAAAGGAATTGGAATTTTACTTATAATTGCTTGGGAAATGGACTCCTATAATCTCTACATAGATTGCTTATGTTTGTTTGTTGTTAGAAATTTCTTAAGCACTCATTTTAATGGGGTATCTGCATATCAGATATATCCTCATTCGTCAACAAGTTTTATTTCCCCTATATCTTGTTGGTTAATATGATTTCACAGATTTGGTCTCGATAACTTAATATACGAATTTATTCTGCATTAGCTGTTGATCATGTAGATATTATTCTTTTTCTTTAATTTTAAATAGATATAGTATAATTCTTGGTTATCGCCAAAGACCAGATCCTTCACCGTAATGCTACTGAATAAGCATAATTAACTTGCAGTTGACACATTGCATAGCTTACCAAATGCAACTCAAGATAAACAAATCAAAGTTTTCTTTTATATATGTATATTAGTCCATGGCGATGGTTGACTAATATGCAGGTAGCATGCATCGAACTTGTGCCAGAGGCCAACGCAAACGATAAAGGCTTCATATCCTTGAGCATGTATGTTTAAGGATATAACTGCTTAAGCATGTATGTTTCTGCTTTTGTTTATGCAGAGAGGATGTCAGAGAAACACATAGCTGATGGTGAAATGAAACTTCTTGCATCATGCGTGATTACATAATGGATAATTCCATTTCTTCTACGTGCTGGTTCATGCAGGGAAAAGAAAGAGGGGGAATAATCTGCATGAGTTCATGGATTTGTACATTCATTCAGCTGACAACTCTGTATATATGTGGAGAGGGATGTTTAAGAAACCTTTTCTAATAGCTTAATAAAGATAAGAAAGGTAATCAAATAGAGAAAGAAGAGGCGTATAGATTCATTACAAGAGAATCAAGAAAGCACACAAAAGCACCAAGTCAAGGGGCAAGTTGTCGTCTCCAGGGCCAGGGATTGTCATGTATTTCAACAAATGCAAGTATGGAAACAAGTACAATCCTTTGGTTTTTTTCTCCTCTTCTTCTTTCCATAGGGTCCCAGGGTGCTTAGGATTCTCCGTTAAAGGGCCGGCTGTCTTATGCCAATTGAAGAATGCAAAAGATTTGGGTCCCCTCTTCCTCCTAAATTATACTGTAAAGGCCTGAATAAGTACCAAACTTACCGAAGGAGACAAAATGGAATGTATTCCTTATTCCATTCCTTGCCTTCAAACAATCTCCAAGGAAGAGCATCTTTCACCTCTCCATTTTGATTTTAGCTTTTTCTTGTATGTATCTAATTCCAAAGTTTCTAGGTGCCCCCAGTCAAAAGAATCTTCCTCTACATTCTCTTAAATATAACCAGTTAAAACTCTCTTTTGTGTCTCCATCTGCTCCCTTTAATATAGATAACATTGAACTAAACTTGTTTATATTCTCAGTTAGTTCCACTGTGAACATTGACAACCCAAAAAAACGACTTCAACAACAAGGTGAGGAACAAAGGTATAAGAGTTCTGAGAATCTTCCTTGAGGTTGAGAGCATGGAGGGTGAGCTAGCTTTGAAGGTCTTAAGACAACATAGATAGTGGATTCCCCTCATCCAAGTCAGAAAATTCCTCCCCCTCTTAAAATCCGGGAATAAGATTCCTGCCTTTGCCAGTAGGGACGAATACGAATGCTCCCAGCAAAAAAAATAGAAAAAGGATAAAAATTTGGTGGATCAATTCCAGTACCTAATGCAAGTCCTGAGGTGTTTTAGGAATTCAAATGGCTTGCACTGTCTTAGAATGGAAAGCAGACTTCGAAGGGTATATGGCCCACAGTTAACAAAGTAGGGGGAGGGACAATATTTCTTTTCGAGTCACTGTGAATATTGGATCGGGTCAGGTGTTCCATCAGCTCTGTCCCAGATTCTATGCTTCTCAAAACTCCACCCCATCAGCCTCCCTATAATGCTTTATAAAGCCATGCTTGGGTTTACCTTTGGCTTGTGAGAAGTGGCCACAGGAGAGAGGTGATAGTATGAGCAGCCTGGTGTAAAATTTCGTCAAGCTAAAGATCAGGTTGAGGAATTTTATCAGAGAATATATCATAATCAAGTTCCAAGATTAAGGGGTTAGCAGATTGAGATCAAAGAGAGGAAGGAACAAGCGCATCAGGTAAAAACAAAGCTGATCCTGAGCATGATAATCTAGTTGTAGGTGCTTCAACAACAGGCTATAAACTTACATTTCAGTTCCTTTTGGAGACAGAAAATGTATCATCATCATCACCAACATCAAGGCAAGAACATCCACCCGTCTTCAAGAATGCCTATTCCTCCTGAGAGGCATTTGTTCCTGCAAGGTGGAAATGGCCCTGGAGATTCTGGTCTTGTCCTCTCAACAGATGCCAAGCCAAGACTGAAGTGGACGCCTGACCTTCATGAACGCTTCATAGAAGCTGTCAATCAGCTTGGAGGAGCAGACAGTGAGTACACAAAAGTTGAAGATCAAGTACCTTAATCCATGCATAAACTGGCTTACTAGGCTAATACAAATATTTGTACTTTCTCTGTGCAGAGGCTACTCCAAAAACAGTCATGAAACTAATGGGGATTCCAGGCCTTACTTTATACCATCTCAAGAGCCACCTTCAGGTAAATTATCAACATCATCTGGAGAATTGTCTTCATATTCGTAAGACGCTGTCTTGTGTGTTGAATTTAGCAGAGTACCAACTGCAATGAGAAAATATCAAGGATGGCACTCCTGTCTGCCTTTCCATGAAGAAAGCTAGACGGATAGATGGTTTACTGTTAAACCTTGTTTACCATGCTAGCTAGTGTAATATCCCTTAATGATTGCATCAAGTATGTTGGATTAAAACCAATCTTTACCAATGTTTAAGAGGGGGTTAAAGGATGTGGAGGGTCATTCCTTTGTAGTCTTTCCCAGTCATTAGATCGAATAGAAAAACAATCCTGTTAGTTTTTGTGTTGCAAGTGCCAATTAAGTCTCTCATTTTTGGCTGCAGAAATACAGGCTCAGTAAAAATCTCCATGGACAAGCTAATAATGGCAGTAACAAAATAGGTAAGAGGACAGTGTTCCCTTGTTGCTCCTTCAAATCGTATTTTCCCCATTGAGAGCAATCCTGAAGATTAAAGTTTAACTCAATGGATATAGGTGCGGTTGCAATGGCAGGAGACCGAATGTCTGAAGCAAATGGGACTCACGTGAACAACTTAAGTATTGGACCTCAGGCAAACAAGTAAGAAGATTAAATGGCCTTTCATAGATTTGCATTCAGTCATCTATTTGGTCGCATACTAACTTTGATTTTCATAAATCCAGAGGCTTACAAATAGGCGAAGCACTGCAAATGCAAATTGAAGTGCAGAGAAGGCTGCATGAGCAGCTTGAGGTACATATACAACATTAGAACTTTGAAAATGAATGCAGTGTTGATTATTTTTCTTTTGGCCAGTGGCTTGAAGTTGATAAAGGTAGTTAGCTGCATTCTGATAAGTTCTCAACTGAACCAGGTACAGCGACATTTGCAGCTTCGTATCGAGGCTCAAGGGAAATACTTACAGGCAGTGCTGGAGAAAGCCCAAGAAACTCTCGGAAGACAAAATTTGGGTTCCGTGGGGCTTGAAGCAGCCAAAGTTCAGCTTTCTGAACTGGTGTCTAAAGTGTCCAACCAATGCCTGAACTCTGGGTTTCCAGATTTGAAAGACTTGCAGGGTTTGTGCCCCCAGCAAACACAAGCAACACCACCCACTGATTGTTCAATGGATAGTTGCTTGACCTCCTGCGAAGGGTCTCAGAAGGAGCAAGAAATACACAACAATGGGATGTGTTTAAGACCTTATAATACTAGCAGTGCACTCTTGGAGCAAAGAGAGATAGCAGAAGACCCATTGCTGCCTCAAACTGAGCTGAAGTCATTTGAAGACATAAAAGAGAACAAGATGTTTCTCTCCTCATTAGGCAAGGATGCAGAAAGAAGAATGTTTTTTGCTGATAGAAGCTCCAGCGATTTATCCATGAGTGTAGGATTACAAGAAGCGAAAGGGAATGGCGGCAACTGCAGCAGTTTCTCCGAGGCAAAATTCAAAGGAAGGAATGAAGATGACAGTTTCCTAGACCGAGGAAACAAAAGGGCAGATGAAGTTAACAGACTACAGTACTTTGCAACAAAGCTGGACTTGAATGTCCATGAAGAAAACGATGCAGCTTCAAGCTGCAAACAGTTTGACCTGAATGGTCTCAGCTGGAGCTGAAAAGGGGTCGTCCATGACTAGAGAAAAGTGAAAGAGACAGAGTTCAGTACATTGGCAATCCAATTTTAACCATCGGAAGAGGAGACTCGGTGCAAGAAACATGCTGCTCTCTCTCTCCACCTTCCCCCAGACCAAAAATCAATTCAAATCTTAACTGAATAAGTTGCAGCAACAAAGCTAGATTGCTTTTTGGCAACTACATATAACATTAGATATCTACATCTGAATGTAGTTTATTTCTTTTTTACTGCATGCCATGTAGCAGACAATACCTGATGGAGTTCCAGGAAAAATGGCTTGATCTGATTAATGATTACAGCATTACTCTTTTGTATCAGGATAATTAACTCCAATTTAACATACTAATCCATGTTGTTCCTACTTGTTCTTGGTTCCATTTGATGCTTGTGAAATCCATGATAAACTCAAGAACAAACCCTTTTTAGCCCTGGAAAAAGCTGTGATTTTGTTGTTGGTCGTGGTTGAATGCATGGAAAATTTCAGAAGTAAATGAATTGTCTTAACCATATATATGTTCTTCATAATCATAGTACTTTTGTCTGTTTTTTTGCATGTTCATGAAAACATTTTTCCATGTACTGAACTGTGTTCACGTAATTACATGAAGCAATGCCATGCAAAATCCACAGTGAAATAATTGTTCACATATGGAAATAAAGTTACAATTATCCAATCAAACAAAACAATTATTCACATGCGTAAACCTAACATGTAATAAGAATATTTTTCGTTTTTATTTTTCGAATTCTATTATTAAAAATTATCTTAAAATTTACTTAATTAATAGTATTAAAACGTGAAATTAAAGTCAAATTAGATGTTAATTATGTGGTAAAGAAAAGGAATATAAAGAGAAGCAATGGATTGAAAAAAAAAAAAGAAAAACTCATTTAATTTATTTCTTTTTTACTGGTAAAACGAAATAAAATTAAATAAAAATGAAAAGAAATCCGTTGGACTTAAGGTATGACCCTGTCTAGCCCACGTTCTCTTTCGTTCTAGTTCATCCCAATTTTTACAAATTAGCATATTAGTAATTTTCCTTGGTTTAAATAGCAAAAATGCCTTTGGATTATGATAATTAGATGTAAATTCGTGCGTTGCACATGATTAATTCAGCTTATATCCTTTCGGATGCGGCTCACCCACTAAATACATTACAACTCTCTCTCTTTAGGGTTTACGTGACAAAATTTGAAAACTTTATTAAAAGTTTTGTTTAAAACACTCCTTCTTGAAACTTCCATGTAATCAAGTGTGAAAGTACTGTTGAAGTTTCTTTTATATATAGTAGAAATTTTTTGAATTAAATTCTTAAACTTTTATCATACTAAAATGTATTTTTTATTTTTTATTTATATTCAAATAAATCCTCAATTTTAAAAAAAATTAATTATCGTTAAGTTTAATATCAATTGATATTTTTTATTTATGTGACGTATAATATAAGTAATTGACGTGATCGATTGCTCATATTACATTAATTTGCCAAGTCATGCATCACATGGATATATCTGATTGTAGTTAATTTTTTTGTTAAGAATAGAGTTTGTTTGAGTATAAATCAAATTAAAAATTGGTTCTTGTACAATAAAATCTAAGGGACTTAATTGAAAAACAATCATAGTGCAGTGGCTTTTTCGCTATTTAAGTGTTTTCTTTTGTTTTCATTTTTAATCCCTCAACACGGTGCCGTAACATACTCCACTCCCAAGTGGCGATATATCGTCGGCTTCTGTATCCATTAATTTGACATCAGAAAAAAGCCCTAAAGAGCGAAACGATCTTAAAACTCACTGAGTCAAGCGAAATTTTCACTCGACACTTCGAAAACTATAAAAATTGGAGAAGTCAATCTCTGCTAGGGTTTTTCATTTCTCTCATTGGATGATAACTTCTCTCTTATTGGCCTCCGAAACATTCCGATTCAACAATGGGAGCAAGTCGCAAGCTTCAAGGAGAGATCGATCGTGTTCTCAAGAAGGTCCAAGAAGGCGTCGATGTCTTCGATAGCATCTGGAACAAGGTTGCCTTTAAATTTACATCAATTCAAATTTTTTATTTTTTGTTTGGTTCCCTAGAAACTGCAGGAAAGTTGACACTAGAATGATAGTCGAATTTTAGTTCCGGTGAAATTGAAGTGAATATTGCTGCAACAAGAATTTCGCTCCTTTTTGAAGTGTTTTTGGAGCTATTTAAAATTTGTTTTATTAATGATTAGCTTGATTTCAATGTAATCTTAGTAGAAAAGGAAGAAAGAGAAGGTGTTAAAGACTTTAAAGATGTTTTTTTGTTCTAATAATTAGTTTATCTGTAGTGCAAATTGAATTGTGAGTTGTTGATTATTGGTTTTTTGGATTATGTTGTTGCTTTAGGTTTACGATACTGATAACGCCAATCAGAAGGAAAAGTTTGAGGCAGACTTGAAGAAGGAAATCAAGAAGCTGCAAAGGTATCGGGACCAGATCAAGACATGGATTCAATCAAGCGAAATCAAGGACAAAAAAGTTAGTTGCTTGTTTCATCCTCCTTTTAAATGGTTGTTGCATTATTTGTTTTGTTCGAATGCCTCATTGAGTAATTCTTGTAATTATATTTGCATTTCTTACTGTTATCTCTTAGTCTTTACGTGGTATCTTTGAATGACCTTTGCCTTTAGTGATGCTGGTGTAGTTGTATTTAATTATTTGAAGCTGATTGTGATTTTTTTTTTCCCTTTTGATATATGTCAACATAGGTTAGTGCCTCTTATGAGCAGGCCCTGGTGGATGCTCGCAAACAAATTGAGCGAGAAATGGAAAGATTTAAGATCTGTGAGAAGGAGACTAAGACGAAAGCATTCTCTAAAGAAGGCTTGGGCCAACAACCCAAAACTGTAAGTGTCATGCATGATTTTTCATTGTTTCTATTACCAATTAATGAACAGCAACAGCAATCATCAACAAACTTCGCCTTTTCCCAATACGTGGAGTCAGCTGTTTGGGTTCAAGTGGACTAAAGACCTCTAAGTGATCTAATTGAATACTTGGCCTTGTGTTTTGTTTGGTTGTATTCAACAATCATAGTCAAACATCAGTTGTGGACTTATCTATGAGTAGTATAGATAGACATGACTGATCTGTTTTTCTTACAAACTCTTCCTTTCCTCATCTTTCCCTGAGTATTTCATCTGTCTACACATCTCGAAACTTCTACCTCAACTGTATGAAATCGATAATGATTGGAAGCATGACTTTATTTGAAAAATGTGTGATGTGTCAATTTCACTGTAGGATCCGAAGGAGAAGGCTAAATCAGAAACAAGGGATTGGTTGAACAATGTGGTATGAAATCTAGCCTTTCTGCCCTTTTTTCTTGCTTTTGTGTCTAAAATGGCTGCAACCCTCTATCGTGCAAGTTTTAGTTTTTGCTAATATGTTTTCCATTCTATCCGTTTTTCCTGTGTATGATGGTGTTTTGGAGTAATTGTTACATTTTTTTCTTAAGCTTAGTTATATCTTGAAACTGCTATGTAACGATAGACCCTTTCTGAATGTAGGTTGGGGAGTTAGAATCCCAGATTGATAATTTTGAAGCTGAGTTGGAGGGGCTGTCTGTGAAGAAAGGAAAGACAAGACCACCTAGACTGGTAGAACTGAAAGAGAAAATACATCTTCTGAGGCTACATACTTTTCTCTCTGGTTTTGATATTACTTTCTTTTTCTTGTTTTCCTCCCCTCAGACACACTTGGAGACATCAATTACACGGCACAAAGCTCATATAATGAAGTTAGAATTGATTTTGAGATTATTGGACAATGATGAATTGAGTCCTGAGCAAGTCAATGATGTGAAAGACTTCTTGGACGATTATGTGGAACGGAATCAGGTTTTGTTTTATGAAAATTTTATTTTGTTGTGTTATGATCCCAAGCAGCAGTTTTTGGGGTGTTAAAAGGATCTGCCATTTTCTTCTCAATCATTTATTCGTACAAAATAGCATCATCTATGTGCTCTCTTTTGGTCATTTTTGTGGGTTTTCCTCTGTTAATTTTTTTTTGTAATTACTTTTGTAGGAGGACTTCGAAGAATTTAGTGATGTTGAAGACCTCTACCACTCATTACCTCTAGACAAGGTGGAGTCTCTTGAAGATTTAGTTACAATTGGCCCTCTTTCCAAGGTAAACTTTTGCCAAGTTGGTCTGCTTGAAGATTCTTGTACCATGATTTAGAGATTGTAATTCGAATCAGTTTTCCCTTGTGGAATTGCAACTTGCTGAGACATGCTATTTACTGGCATATTGTTTTTAAAAATTTTACTTGAACAAGCCTCTTATCTTGAATATGGTGTTCAATGATTCAATGTCTGAGCTGGGTTCTTAGATTTTAAGTGAACAGTGCATGAAATGGCTTCTTTCATGGAAAATAACTTGGAAAAGGAAATCTTAATTTTTAGCAGGGGGCACCAATTCTTACCTTGAAGACGTCTTTGGCCACATCAGCATCTCAAGTGCCTGTGAGTGCTCTCTCTCTCTCTTTTGGATATCTGTTGATGCACTTACATTTATAAACATGTGCCAAGTTTTCCTGTATAAGCTGCTTCATTATTAGTTGATGGCATAATGCTCACTTGATGTCTTAAAATGGGTTATGTTTTGATCTAATCAGCAGGGTAGTTCCTGCCAGGAGCATGTTGAAGATACAGCTTCTCAGGATGGTAATTCTGATATTGCGAGGACTCCACCTTCAAAAAGTAGTGCAACCAATTCTTCTGCTGCAGCAACGCCAACAGGGAGCCATGCTACCCCTGCTCCAGTGAATCTTCCACCTCATAGTTTGTCTGGTGCTTCAACTGCTTCAGTTGTTCTTCCAGGTTCAAGTTCTGCTCGTGGTGTCTTGGAAAGCGCTGGTGCTACCAATCCTTCATCTCCTGTAAGTTTGCCAAATGCTACAAAAGAAGAAGATATCCCAAGCTTCCCGGGCCGTAGGCCATCTCCATCTCTTGCTGATAGTGGAGTACGAGGCATTGGTAGAGGAGGCCTCTCCAGTCAGCCTTCATCTAGTATCCCCCTTGTTTCTGGAAGTGCAACGTCTAGCAATGGAGCGCTTGGTGTTGTCCCTTCAGTCTCTGACATGGCAAAACGAAATATTTTGGGGGCTGATGAGAGACTTGGGAATAGTAGCATGGGGCAATCTTTGGTATCCCCTCTTAGTAATAGAATGATCTTGCCTCAGGCAACCAAGGCTAATGATGGAAGTGCATCTGTTGATTCTAGTAACCCTAGTGAGTCTGCTGGACTACCTGGCAGAGCTTTTTCCCCTTCAATGGTTTCTGGTATGCAGTGGAGGGCTGGAAGTTCCTTTCAGAATCAAAATGAGCTGGTATGCTAGGTTGCCATGTATCTGTGTTCATGCTCTACATGGGTCATGATTGATATAGTAGCTAATTTGTTTGTATTTTCAGGGGCAGTTTCGTGGAAGAACTGAGATAGCACCTGATATAAGGGAGAAATTTTTGCAACGGCTCCAGCAAGTGCAGCAACAAGGCCATAGCAACCTGCTTAGCATTCCTCCTCTTGCTGGAGGAAATCATAAGCAGTTTTCTGCACAACAGCAAAACCCACTCATGCAGCAGGTGCTCTTTCGTAGATTACTTACTTCTCTCCTTTTCCTTGATCCAAGCTGTTAAAACTTCTTACAAACAAGGTTTAAAACAAATCTAGTTTTTGTTGTCAGCTCATGTTACATATATATGATGAATGTATGTTCTGCAAATTGGTGGGAAGTCAGATTAGCTTTCTGTCAAGAGAGAAAATAAAAAATAATCTTTTATGCTCTTACGTTGTCAGTTCAATTCTCAAAGCTCAGCTCTCTCTATCCAACCTGGTATGGGACTTGGTGGCCAAGCACCCAGTCTTAATAGTGTTACATCTGCCAGCTTACAACAGTCACCAAATTCCATACACCAGCAGTCTAGTCAGCAGGCATTGGCAACAAGTGTTCCAAAGGATGCTGGTAACATTCATTTGCTTAGTTTTCCTTTTGAGTCTTTTACATATATATATATATTTGAAGGGTGAGGGTCTTTGAGGAGTTTGTGAAAGATATCATATCATCCAATTTTTTTGAGTACATGCTATGGAGGCGGCTCATCAAACAGTAAATCATTCTATATAATGTAAAGGGTTCAACAATGATGAACTCCCTTTTGCCACCCCTTGTTTCTCTCTCTCTTTCTTTTCTTTTTTTTTTCTTTCATATGCTATGGCACCATTTGGTTTTTTCTATAGCAATTGGTGGAATATTTTTCGAACACATTATAATATCAGAAGCTATCTTTAGAAAACCTGTTATTGAAGTGGTTTTGCGTAGTGTGTGTGGCTGTTCTATGAGTAGTCCTGAGAAAGAAATGGAACGTTGCTTTTAATTTAACATCCTGAGATTTCTTGCTTTTTTTTCTATGTTTTTGATGGGAGACTTAATTTGGTCTTGCATAATCCTGAGAAAGAAGTGGTTAATACGTATGCAGATGTTGGTCATGCAAAAGTTGAGGAGCAACAACCACAGAATTTACCTGATGATTCAAGTTCCGAAGCTGTTCCAACTTCTGGGCTTGCTAAGAATCTCATGAATGAGGATGAAATGAAAGCTCCATATGCAATTGATTCGCCTGTATGTTGAATACTTCTTAATCTTGTCTACTCTATTATTGTTATCATAGCTGGTGTGGTACTGTTTCTGTTCATATTCCATCTTCTGTTAGAATCATCATCACTTTGGTCACTTTGAATTGGTAATCTGTAGGTCATCCAGTTAGTCTAAGTCCTTGATTTGTGAAACTACATGTGTGTGGCTTGACTAGATAGAGTAAAATGATGTGTGGGCCTGAATAATATAAAATTAACATTTTCATCTCATTTTTGGTTTTGAAAAGATGTTTTTGTTTTCTACATAGAGTATGGTCTTAAAGGTGAATGTTTGTTGTGAAAATGTGAGGGATCAAGATGACTTAAGTGGCTTGTAAATGGTTCTTTGCTACAGGCAGCCGTATCGGGCTCTTTGACAGAACCGGCTCAAGTTATTAGGGACACTGATCTTTCTCCTGGACAACCCTTACAACCCAGCCAGTCTTCTAGCAGTCTTGGTGTTATTGGCCGGAGAAGTGTTTCTGACCTTGGTGCCATTGGTGACAACCTCAGTGGGTCAACAAATTCTGGAGGAATGCATGATCAAATATACAATTTGCAGATGCTTGAGGCTGCATATTTTAAAATTCCCCAACCTAAAGACTCAGAACGTCCAAGGAGCTACACTCCAGTATGGGGTTTTCCAAGAGTCTTCTCTTTCTCTTTTTCCTTCTTTCAAAAGAAAGTCTTTAGACAACAATTTTATAGCTGTCAAGTAATTAATTGTGATTGCTTGTATAATACAGAAGCACCCTGCAGCCACGCCTGCTAGCTACCCTCAAGTTCAGGCACCTATTGTGAATAATCCTGCCTTCTGGGAACGCTTAAGCATCGATGGATATGGCACTGGTACTGATACACTGTTCTTTGCCTTTTACTATCAACAGGTAAATAGGTTACTACTCTCTCACTTCCTCTTTCTTGCAATACAATCACTTGGAGCTCTCCAACATATCAAATTTTGTGCAGAACACTTACCAACAATATCTGGCTGCAAAGGAGCTGAAGAAGCAATCTTGGAGATACCATAGGAAATACAACACATGGTTTCAGCGGCACGAGGAGCCAAAAATTGCCACAGATGAATTCGAACAGGGAACCTATGTATACTTCGATTTTCACATAGCAAACGATGACCACCAACATGGATGGTAAGTCGACCTGGATTTCTCCTGTCTTTGCAAATTATTTAACCATATGCCTTGCACGTATAATTTTATGATATGTACACTTGTTATTCTTTGTTCTTTTTCAGGTGTCAGAGAATCAAGACTGAGTTCACCTTTGAGTATAATTACCTTGAAGATGAACTTATGGTCTAAGAGATGTGGAGAAGGCAATAATATAACTATAATTTGCTGAATTTTGCATATGTGAATGGAATCATTTGAACCTTCTGGAAAAGCCTCGTATAGTTTGGGGGGCATATGTGAAATTCAAAGATGAAGAAGAGATACCAATCATACCTATAACCTTCCTTTCATTTTATTTCTCTTGCAAATGCTTGGATCCTGAGATTGCTGTTGCATTTTGTTTCTGACTATAAACCTGCTTGTTCTTTGCAGCAGGTCAAGAAAATTAATTTAGAGTAAATATTTAGTTATAGTTTGCTATTGATTGTTATTTCCAGAGTTAATCACATAGTAAGCTAAAAATTGAAAGAAAAAAATTAATTTAAAAAAAATTAAAGAAAATGGCAGAACCGTCGAGAAATAAAATAAAAATAGAAAAACGACCATTTTTTTTATTTTGTACTTGTTTTTTCATTGAATTTTGTCATCATTACGTCAAATCTTAGGTATTCTAAAATCAAATAAATATATTTTGTTATTCTACTTATTAAACCTTTGTTTACAAATTAAATTATATTACAATCATCTTTATTATTAAGAATATCATTAATTCATATAAAAAATATCATTTATTTAAAACAATAAAAAGATTTAACTTAAACAAGATACTAAAAATAATAGAAGTGAATGTAATTAATAAATATTTCATTAATTCTATATATTTGGCAAAATAGAGCCCAAAGATGATGATTGTTTGCTAGATAAGGGTATTGTCTTTTCCACAGGCAGGCAGCTGTACCGGAGCCTTTTCGATGGAAACCTGCTCAAGTGATTAGGGATGCTATAGCTTTTACAGTCCAACCAGCACTGTCTTCGAGTGGTATTGGTCTTATAGGGCGGAGAAGTGTTGCCGACCTTGCCGGCTGCCGCCATTGGTGAATCATCCTGGAGCCACGCGCCTGGTAGCTACCCTCAAGTGGTGGATATGGCACTGGCACTGATATAGGATCGATCACACCTTTGAACTTGGCAAGTCATGTACGCGAAACATTGTAATCGGAAAGAGTTTGGTGCTTTCTATTATGGAAAATTACGAAACTTCCACTAACAATGTTTCACATACATGCTCTGCCAAGGTCAAAAGTGTTCTCCATCCCTCAAGAATGTCTTTTTCTTCAAAACAGGTAACTGCTAAAGGGTACAATAAACATTCTAGTGCAAGTACACAAACAAAACTTGGCCTTGGAACTCATCCGAATTCCATAAGCAAAGATTTCCTTTCGGTTTATGTTTTTTATATTTGTTCGTTTATCTAATGATGATTGTCCAATGAACATAACAAAAATGTTGGGAAGATAAGGTATGAATGGGTGTGATAAAGCTGGGTGGGTGAGTCCCAGCAGATAAGGGTTGCTTTCAAATGAAGATTTCCACCTGAAAATCTAGAGTTTGTGGTACTTGACGTTGCTTCCAACCCCATCATCTTTTCCTTTTGGGAAGGGCCACTGGGGGGGTAATTCAATAGGGGAAAAAAGGGTAAGTAAATTTAATTGGGATAAAGGCGACAAAAGGGAGGGAAGGTACTTGTAAAGGAAGCAAGAATTTCGATATGATAAGAGAGATAATTTGAGAAAGGGCCGTTTCAGATGTCAGGAGCATTTGTTGGCTCTCGGGGAGAGCATGCCGTGCTTTAAAGGCTACAGGGCCATATCCCCATTGAATCAAAATTCATTGCAGACAAATTAAGCCATTTCTTTTTTAAAAAAGTTACAAGAAATGTTTTAAATTTAAATTTTTCTAAGTCCTGATTATGTCAATTTATAAAATATTATCTGTTTTAAATTATTAAATTTCACGTCAATTGTCGTACTCATAATTGTTTTGATCATAATATCTTTTTTTCAACTCGAATTTAATTATCTTTGATTTTTTTTATCCATTATTCATTCACATGTTAAGATTTAATTATGTATTACGAATTCCAAACAGAATCAAAAAGGTGACAGAGAGAAGTTGGACTCGATCGTCCATCCCTATTGTCAAGGTGCACATTTTGTTCAGTACAATTCAAAGTTAAGAAGCTTGAAGCATTTACAGTTCCTGGTCATGGAGTAGGTAGGGAGAAAGAAAGGGTCAAGAAGGAGGAGGAGAGGGGGTGGACCATCAAAGCCAAGAGGCTTGGACTTTATGAACAAAACAAATGTATTGTACCTGGAAATTACTTGGTATAGGATGGTCACCAAGCTTGTAATTTTAAATAAATTAAAGCATAGAAATCTTTGAATCCCTAATTATCATTATCAAAAGCATAGTCATTCGGGATTTTTCCGAAAAAATTTTCTTGCAAAATTTCAATGAATTATTTCTGTAAATTAACCAAAAACAAGTTAATTTTGTTATTTTTCGATGAATTATTGATGTAATTTATTAATGAAAAATTCGTTAAATTTTTTAAATTAATTAGAAGTTAACGAGTTTCTAGTATATATACGAGTCACAGTCATAAAACAAATTAATGCAAGTGGATTTGAAGTAAAATTATAAAAACAATATATACAATTTCTGATATTTACGTGTCAAACATAGATATTCCCCCACATTTTCTTTGTTTTTTGTATTGTACATATTATCGTGATTTCATCTGTTCATCAGTTCGATTTCAGATTTATTTAATTATACCTTTTTGTCTTTTTCGTTATATGCTCAATATTCTTACCTTTTATATTATAAAAAATATTTTTAAATGTTTCACGTCCAATTCTTCATAGAATCAAAATTCTTATAAGCATGGGTATCTTACACCCATTTAGATTAATTTTTTTAAAAAAATAATAATCTCGCGACAAAAAAATACATTAAAATCAAAATTTTAATTTTATTAAGAAGTAAACTCGTGACATTAATTTTTTATATACATATATGATTTTTATAAAATATGAAACAATTTATTCTAACGTGGACGAACGAGTAACTTATTTTATTGGTCGAATTTTATATAATGATAAGATTTTCACAAACTTATCTATGATCCACCTACGCTTTCTCTTTTCTCTTTTCCTAAAAGAGACCTTCCAAAAATAACGCGGCTTCTTCCTAATCTACACTAATCAACCAATTACATGATTGTTATTGTAGGGCATGCTTCATCATGGAATGTCATCTAGCCATGCTGAATTGTATTATATATTAAATTTGTATGATTAATTTGTTTTCTAATGTTATTAGGGTTTATATTAAAATAACATAAGTTAACCATCACACGTTTTCATTTGTTTTTAGTTATATAAACTTTGATTTATTCAAAGAATGGTAAGCTTACTTTTTCATTATTATATATGAAAATTTGATTAAATATTTTAAGAATTCAAAGCCTTGGACTATTGTCGTAGCCCTAACTTAATTAATCAAATTAATTAATCTGGTGGGTTGGTGTTTGAATTAGAAGTATTATTAAAGTGAAAGCAATTTCTTATCCAAAACTATTGAAACCATAATAGGCTAATCAACACATAATTAATTAATTAATTGGGAAGTTGAAATTGAAACTAATGGAAGAGTGTGGACCTTGTCAAGAGAATAGTGAAAGAAAACTTGAACATGGAAAATGATGTGGAACCACATAATCAACCACCTTGGCATACTTATCACAACAGAACTTTCTCATCTTTTATATTTTATTTCTTTAATTCCTTATAATTTTTTTCTCCTTTTTTTGCATTTTCAAAATGTGATATTAATATAAATTTATGATAATTTTAATTCTTATTTAAACAAAACCCACATTTATATTCTAGAAAAATGTATGAAAATAATGATGAAAAGCTTAATAAGGTAGCTAGTAGGCCATGGGGTGAACCCACAATGAAGAGGAAGGAAATTGTTTGTAAGATGTAAAGATGGGCAGATGACAATGGCCGGTGTATATGATAAATCCATGTCTATGATGAACCTTATCTTCATAATTTTGGGTGGTTTGGACATTAAAGAAGAGGCAGCCACATGCCTTTGTTTCCTTCCCCACACCACCTCTAATTTTTTTTTTCTCAAGAAAATGACATGGATTTTTTATGCTTTTAGGCACTTGTCCCATATTTGGGTGAGCTAGAATGCCAATACCTAAATTAGATTTTGGATTGGGTGTCATTATCCAAAACTTGAATAAATGCAACTGGCTTAAGAGTGGGGCAATTAACTACCAACATATGCATTATGTCACAGTCCACATCAACTTGTAAAGTACTATTCGTTTTGATTCATTGTAATTTTTTTTTCAATTTTATCTCATAAAATAATATTTCATTGGTTAAATATAATATGAACACTTAAATACCCAATCTCACTATAATATATAACTAATGTGAGATTCACGACTTTTTTCTAAAATTGTGACATATTATACTCTTTAAATCATATATCCTCATTAAGTATTTCCTTTTGATGGGTTAAAATATTTCAATAGAAATAAAACTACGTCCCCGGAAAGAATTATAATGATGAAAAAATAATCCCAATTGTCGAGATCATTTGTGTATTAATACTTAAGAATTCCAATTCCAATATTGACCATCTCTTTTTTTTTTTTCATTTTTATTGAGAAATATCTAACTTTTTGAAAGTCTTGATGGGTATATTTTATTTTAATGAAAACAATTACACATTTAAAGCTACATGTATGAGACTAGTATGGATATTAATTTTTTTTTTCTTTTTTTTGGGAATTTTATATATCAATGTGACAATGTTGAGAATCATTTATAAATCATAAGCCCATCAGTTTCATATTTTGGGTATGAATAACTGTATGACAGCAATGTCTCAATGCAAACACATGGGGATCCATTATGTACCTTTAGTTTGCATTAATTGATACCTTTTCCAAATCACATCTCTTGCTTTTTTCTTTTGAGACATTGGCACACAGAGAGCAAGCCATGCCTAAACTATAGTTTTGATTTGTAGGATTCAACCTTATAAGTTCTCTCTTGTTTTAATTTCTTGCAATATAGTTTTTATTCATGGATGAAATTTATATCTAAAAGTGATAAAAATTAACCCAGACTCGACCCATATTCATTAAAAATTTTAACGATGACGTTGATCTAAAATAATCTACACATTAATTTAATTAATATGTTACTTTGAAAGTAAAATCTTAGTAATACAGGGAATCGGTCTAGGGCATATTAGTAATTTTCTTTATCATTTTAATCATTTAATTATTAAAAAATTAATGAATTTTCACGTGACATTTTACGTTACAATTAATATAACAGCTCTTATCACGTGAATATGTCCATATAATAATAAAAATAATTTTTA